GGCGTTCGCTCCTTGCGCGCGCCATAGCAGACAGTGCGGAAGTAGTGGGCGGGGGAGCCGACCTCGGCCTGCTGCTGAAGATGCCGCATGAACCCCTCCCTCCCGCCCTGCCACCGCTGGTCGCCTGTCTCGCCGCGGTACTTTGGGTCGCACTTGACGAGGTGCTGGTAGAGCCCGCACTTGCTGCCCACGGTCGCGTACCACTTGCCGCAATCCTGACACTCGAGGCCTGGGCCTCGAGCGTCCTCCGCGGAGACGGGGTTGTCCGTGCGCGCGCCCGCCCACTCCTCGAGCGTCGCCGCTACGAGCGCCCCGTAGACGGCGTCGACCGCCGCCTCCGCCAACGCCTCAGCAGCCGCCTCACCCGCCTTAGAACCCGTGGCCTCATCTAACAGAATGAAAGGGTGGGGCGCGCCGGCAGCGTCCGAGACCGGCGTCTCGGGCGGGGTAATGCCGGCGGGCCCCCAATATGGGGCACGTCCAGGTCCATTCGGCGAGCGAGAGCGGCCGCCCTCCTCCCCCTCGGCCGGCGCCGCGCCGCCGGGGAGAACTTCCTCCTCCATTGGGTCTGACCACGAGGTCAAACCCGCCTCTGCGGCCTGCGCCACCGCAGGCGCCGCGCTCCGCGCGCAGGGTGCGGTCGCCGCTGCGGCCTCTGCCGCCAGCCGCCGCCCCTCCTCGCCGTCCACCACCGCCGCGCTCGTATCAGCGCTGGCGGTGGGGAGGCGGGGTCCAAACTGCTCCTCCGAGAGGGAAGCAGCAGCAGCTGCTGCCTCCTCCTCGTCGGAGGTGTAAGCCTCGCCGCCGCGCGTGGCGCCGAGGCCGCGCCCGCCAGCGGCGGCCGCGCCGCCCGCCTGCGCGCCAGCCGCAGGCCCAGGCGGGCCGGCGACGGAGAGCGCGGCAAAGGCAGCTGCGAGAGCAGCTGCTGCGGCCTCTGCGCTGCGCAGCGTCTCGTCGGGCAGCACGCGCTCGCAGAGCGCGAGCGCGGCGGGCGAGAAGCCGAGAGCCGTCGCGCTCGTGCCGCCCTGGATCGCAGTCAGCAGCTCCGCCACGTTGCCCACGCCCTGCTGCAGCAGCTTCTGCTGCAACAGCTTCTTGTTGGGCGCAGAGACGTGGGCGCGCGCCGCGAGAGCCGCGATGCTCTCGTCGAGGTCGATGGTCGGCCGCGCGGCCGCCATCGGGAGCGAGGCCGCGGGCGCGACCCGGGCCTCGCTGAGCTTGGCCGCTACGAGCGCCGCGAGAGAGAGGAGCGCGACCGGCGCCACAGAACGCCGGAAAGAAAGAAAGAAATATGGTAGAATTCTTGAACGGTTAAATAAAATAAAATTCCTCCTTGGAAGCTGGATGTGCCTTGTGCGTTAGCCGTTACCGACTCGGCGACTGCAATCCAAGTGCTCCAAGTGCACTCTACATTCATTTGGTATCGCAACGTTATTTGTGCCCGACGGAACACGTGTTGCGTCTCATCGAGGTCCCCTCATGGCTTCCTTACTCTACCATCCGGCCACGCGCGCGTTGTGCACCCCTTCGCGTCACGGTGCGGGCAGGCGGAACTTGCCTCGCGGCGGCGCCTCGGGGCGGTACCTGCGACACGCGGCCCAGGCTCATGACTGGCGCGTGTCATCGCC